CAGAGAGGAAGGGGAGGACCAGATAGAATCCCCAAGGTCATGCCTCCATGACCCACTAGGCACACCCCAAAAATGTGCCTTATTAATCCCCTGGGCAGCTCCTGGGCCAATCAAGTGAATAATTAAGCTTAATCATCACATTGGTTGTTGGTTGGCAGGAGAAAAGGTCAGGGTATGGAAAGGAAGGCAGATGCATGCAGGAAAAGGGATTAAGTAAGAAGGGAGTGGGGCGATCCTGAGCAAAGAACCAAGCAAGTGACTGTGGCTGCAGTGTCTCTCATTAGCTCTCCTTGGGGGACACACAGGCATGGGGAGGAATGGCATATGGTAGAAATGCCATGGGTCTGAGTGGGATGAGGCTGGGGATTGGAAAGAGGGACTAAAAGGCAGGCACAGGCCTAAGCAATATATATTTCTTGATGGTACACCGGCGTATACAATAGTGGCATGTTTAAAATTTGACGCATTGGCTTTTACTTTCTCCAACAGGCATATTGTTATTTGGGTATTGCCCCATTGTGGCCACATTTTCCACCATCCATCCCCGGGAACTGCTGTCAGCATGGATTGTTGGGCATATTACCTCAGTAGTAACACCCAAAGCCTGGGGTTATCTTTCAGTCTCCTCTTGCATTTTATCAAACTTTTATTGTTCCAAATTATTTAGAGGAAGTCAAGTAAAATATTTGCCTTCACCCACAAACAGCAATCACCCCAAATAATTTTCTATGAAGTAAACATTCAATTCTAGTTTATGGCCAGATGCCCAGCACCATTGCTGGCAGGTGTTCAAGGAAGATGCTCTGTTGGTTTGGCAGTAATTGTAGTCCCTTTGGGATCCGCTGTGCAGGATACATTCTCGAAAACATTCCGACTTTATGTAGCCACTGGGGATGACAGCATGCGGACAAAGTAAAGCCTACAGTGACTATTTGCCATGGAGTTAAATCAGGTCATAAAATCCAAATGAGTTTTTCCATAATGTCACCTTTCCCAGAGGTGTTCCACAAAGTTATTATTACTGTTATTGTTATTGATGGGAGGCAATGGGGGAACGAGGAATTTTGGCTCCACTCTGTAAAAACCACCATGCTTAAAAGCAAGGGTTTAAATCCTCCTACAACATTATCTTTTGCAGAATGCTCCTCACATCTCTATACCTTTGGCACAATCGACAGTGGGAGTTTGTTAGACCAGCTTTTTATGCTTCTGTTCCAGGAGAGCTTTCATCTTCAAGGCCTGAGGGTGCCTGAGCATTTGACAGGGTTGCATGGAGAAACGCCGTCCAGGTGATGTGCTGATGAGACAGTGACTGAGTACCTAGTGTCCCTAGGGACTCAGGGGTACAAGGCGACGTGTGGCTTTGTCCTCACGCCAATCACCATTTTGATTTAGTGGAACATAAGGTTATAATTGTGAAAGGCTGCAATAATTATTGCATTCATCCACTGTTTTATAGTCCTTTAAAAACCTCTGTGCATGCATTTATTCATGAAACACTTATGCCTTGCCTACCATGCATGAAGACCACATGCAATTCTGGAATCTATTGTTTTTCATTCTTCCAACCAGCCACTTAACAAGTGAAATGGCAGCCGACAACTAAAAGCAGCTGGTCTGTTCTCCTTTCTCATTTTGGAGCCAGGCAGCTAAAGTCTTTGCACAAGTAACTCTGTGGGAATGGGAAGTGCCGGCTACTCCACTCCTGAGCAGACGCATCAATGAGGTGCCAACAACCAGCTTTTACTGTTTTGGCATCTCAGCTACAGCTGCCCCAAAGTTCAAGATAAATCTGCATGGACAGCAGGTTTGCCTTCACCCTTCTTCCACTTTCCTTTCCCTGCCCCATCTTCTGCTTTGAGTTACCCATTGGCTTCATTTATTTGCTCCATTCACTCACAGCTGACCAGGCGTTTTGAGGCAAGAGGAAGACATTTGCAAAATGTAGAGTCAAAGATCTGAAGGCGAGAACTTTGTTTAAAGTAGCTACTGACTGTGTTAAGCAGACCACTGACGTCCAGCTGTAAAGAATGCAGAAGGCACGAGCAATGCCCCTCAGTGCACACAGTGCGAGAGTCCGAAGCATGCCTGGCACCCAAGGTCTCTTGCAGCCCTGACCAGCCTGCCTGCCTTGGGAATCCCTTCTTCCTAGCTGAAGCTTCCCAGCTTCCGCTGCACAGGGGAGCATTTCCTGAATTTGATACTCAGGTCAAATACCAGTGCTGGTAGAGAAAATCGTGGCAGATGGGACCCAAATGTCAGTGTACTTACAAGTAGCTGTTCCAGTGTGTAGCTTAGGTTGAGATCCCCTGTTGCAGGCAAGTCTTAAGAGTACTAAGGGGCTTCAGACCTCCCCTCATAACCCTTTAAGCCCCGTGTTACCTGAACTTCCATATCACTCCTGCCATGACTGTGGAGAGGAGCAGGAAGGAGCGCTATCTCAGAGAAAATACTCACTCATCCCATTCGCTCAACAGCAAAAGCCAAATAAAACAGTGACAGCCACACCACCAAAGACATTCTCTGTAAGGTCTGAAGATAGAGAATTAAAAATTGGCCGAAAAGGAGAGATTTGAGTCATCAGTGGTGTAAGTAGGCCAGGCACAGGAAAGGCCTCTCCAGCACTGTGTACTTGGGCAGCTGCCGGAGGACAGGGTGGTTGCCTGAGGGAGGTGAGACAGACAGGGCAGGATGAACGCCTGGTCATACGGGAAGGGAAGGTTGTGGATGAGGGAAAAGGAATAGGAGTAGGAAGTCTGATTGTTTTGACAACAGACCTTTAGTATTTTTTCCAGTAAGTTTCACAACATTAGATCGGTGGCCAAGTTATTGGCCCATTTTAAGGATCTGTAGAAACAAAACAAAACAAAATCATAAATCACAATTAAGATTCTGACCCTTAGGGGAGTGGATGTCAGGGAACTCCAAAGAAGAACCCCCGAATTTGGTCAGTGTGATGAAAATTGTGAAACACACTGGAACAGATACAAAAAGTTTGTCATTAGCAAATAAAAGCTAAGTCAAACAACTTCAAATAAATTCATTTTAAAGGGTTCTGTTTAATTCCAGTGAGAGCATCTTTTCCTGTACTTTCTTTGTGTCATTAGTAATGGGATAGAAAGATGGACAGGAAAACTGGATTTATACTTTGATTCCTTTATTACTACTTGTGAAAACTTAGGTTACAGATTAATCCATTAGATGCCAATGTCTTTTCTGTGAACTGGAGAATAGTATCTATTCCAAAGGTCTTGTAAGAAATAAAGAACAAATAATATACTTGAGGCTCTTATAATTTTGAATATTTTCTCTCTCTGTTGGGATGGCTGTAATTTCGAAGCAAGCACAGAATCTTTTAGATGGAGGGAACACATACATTTTAAGTAACAGAAATCTGCCTATGGTATAAGTAGATTCTCAGGGTGTGGGCAGGGACTAGGTTGTCCAAGTTTTCTGCCATGAGTGACTTGCTCAAGTTACGGAAGGCAGGTGACTGAACGCTTCCAATCTTTGGGTTATTTTAGACAAGGCCTTGCTCTGCCTGTGGGGTGGGTGCTCAGATGCTAGGAAGGCTGAGGGGAGACTTCAGCAAACTTGAAAACTCACCTCTGCTTCTGCCCACTGGACTGTGGGCATTGCTCGGCTTCAAGCTCGGTTGTTACGAGATTGGAATTCTTCAAGTCTCCCAGTTTTTATGTGGTGACAACTAATTCCACTTTCTTTCAACATCGTGTGAGCTGAGCCAAACACATGTGGACACAGCCTGTGTGCTACCAGTTTGCAATCTTGGCATTTTAAGGGTCCCTTTCATGTCCGGCGCTCTCCATGACCCCAAGAATAAGTACACCTATCTTGCATGGGGTGCTCATCTTGATGGTTAGATGTGGAGTTCTGCTCCTCACTTCCAGATACAGTTTTCCTATTGTTAGTATTTCACTATCTATAACTAATGGTACCCCTTGGCAATTCTTGTGAAAACAGGTTCTTGTTTTGAAGTTGAGATTAATTCTGTTTCCTGTAACTTACTGAAGCCTATAGCCTCAATTTTCTGGATATTAGTTTAAGCTTGTTTTATTTTGGTTTTTTTTGAGACAGGGTCGCACTCGTAAGCCAGGCTGTCCTTGAACTCATTATGTAGTCCAGAATAGCCTTGAACTTGTGGTGAACCTCCTGCCTCAGCCTCCTGGGTGCTGGGATCACTCCTGGCTAGTTTAATCTTTTAACACATATGGTGGCTGGTTTCAAATCTCCAGAATCTCACTTCATTTTGTGCCAACTCTTGAGAGGTAAAGCTTTAATATACTCTTTTTTTTGTTTTTTGGTACCGGGGATTGAACTGGAGTCCTTGTGCTTGCGAGACAGGCGGCAAAACCACTGAGCTAAATCCCCGGCCCCTTAATACACTCTAAAGTCTCGGAGAAACAGTCTCTCATCCCACCGGTTATGGATTGGATTGTGCTCTCTGAAATTCACCTGCTGAAGCCCTAATTCCCAGCGTACTTGGCCAGAAGGCCTGGTTAGGGTAAAGGAGGCAGTAAGGATGGGGCCCTGGCACAGTAAGGCTGGTGTCTTGGAAGAGGACAGAGTCCACAGGAGTGTGCTGTGCAGACAAAGGCCGGGTGGAGGGACAGGAAGAAAATTGAGATCAGCAGGCTAGGAAAACAGACCTCACCAGCATCGAACCCTCAGGCACCCTGGTTTTGGGCTTCTCGTTTGCAGAATTGTGAGAAAATTAGTGTCTTTTGTTCAAGTCATGTAGCCTGTGGCATTTTGTTACAGCAGCTTGAACAGACTAATACATCACCTACAATTAGCCTGCTGTCTTTGTTGCATTAAAAATTCTACTTGTTCTTGGAGAAACTTTTAAACTGCTCTTTCCCTGTGACTTCCTGCTTAAGACTTTATGGACATTTCTCCATCTTCAATCAAAGGAGCATCATTATGGGAAATGCATCAGACTGTATTTGTGACAGCAGAACACAAACCGTTCGGTGACTCACCCATAAAATGTGAGATAGAGGAAGCCGATCCTTTTCCCGAGTTTCGCAATTTCTCCTCGTTTATCAGCTGCTCCAGTGAGTCGCACGATGCCTACTTTCTTGAGGGTGGAAAGCCACTTGTATGTATCTTCATCATTTTTTAAAACTTCTTCAAAATCCAGAGTAGGCAGCTGGAGCTCTGCATCCCAGTACTGACATTCTGTGAATGAGGAATAATGAAGAGGCATAAACCTCAGAGAAGAGATGGATGGCAGTAGTTCATTCGAGCTGATATGGATTTGTCATGGATTTTCCTAACAGCCACACCAGGAATGCCTCGGTCCTGGGAGCCAGCCGGGCTACCACATGCCTCCTGTCTACAGGTGTCTCCAGCCCATACCATATGTAGTATGAGGGAATGTTGTCTAGCCCATGAATGTTTCTGGTCTGCATGTCTTTAGGAATTCTCTGGCAGGACACTGCTTAGACGTGACTTGGAAACAGTCTGTGTGTCAACAGCAACCTTATACTGCTCAACTCCAAATAGATGATAAACTCAGAATGCTGGAGTAGAACATGCCCATTCGGAGGGGGAGGTAGGGACAGCTGCTTCTTCCTCTTACTTCACCCAGTGAGCAGCTACCTCTGGGGTCAGGTTGTGCACTGGATTATCAAGAGCTGGCATGAGGGAGAAGAGAGAGCTATGTCCGGGATGCCGGGGTCTTGGGCGGCAGAGCTGAAGAAGATACGCTCAGCTGCCTCTCCTTAGTGCTCTCGCTCCTGATGATTAAATGCTCATATAAATGTTCACTGGAGAAAACAGCGAGGAAAGCAAATTAAAAAAATAATTGGCTTGCAAACCAAGCTCTCCCACAGGAAGTGGAACACAAAACAAATGCAAGTTTGCCAAGGGAAACAACTGAGATTTTAACAACTGCAATCAGGAAAGAACAGATGCCAGCTGGTCCATTTCATTTCTTCTTTTTGGGGGAAGGAAATAACCTGAGAAAGGAAAACCTTCCCAACAAGTGGCAAGGTGAGAACTTTATGTTCTCAGTATCATCCTGAGCAGTGCTTCACATTTCTAACTGGGGGATACACATGTTATGGAAAGCAACCCAAAGCCCCCAACTTAAGGAAGAGGAACCGGTGAGAACCTCTCATAGTAGCTATAGACTGGAAATCATCTCCTCTTTGATGTTCCCATAGCTTTTTACTGAAATCAGAATGCATCTTAGGAGTCAGAGAGTAGCTTTGGTAGTGAATAAACACCTACAGGTGCAGAGAGCCCCAGCTAGCTGCATGGGTATTTGCAGTAGTGAATATGTGTATGTATTTAGGAAGACCTATTTAGGCTATTAATGCCTATATTGCCAAAGTTTCCAGGTTGTTAAACATAATAACTTGCATAATGAGTCAGAATTGTCAAGCGTTGAACGACAAACTATAAATCAGGCTCCCCTAGCAGACTCTGGAAATATTCTTCAGTACTAAACACATTCTACCGTGCAAGTGGCTTACAGTATCACGCCGGGCAGTCAAACTGATACCCAGCCACTGGTTCCTGATTTCTCACCTGAACCCTTTTCTCTCTATGGGACCAACCAGAATAGCAACCAGGTCACTGTGGCCAAGAGAAGTGGGTGAGCACCTGGACCGGGGTGCCTTAGACAACAGCAGTCTGGTGGCAGCCGTAAGAAAGCGTGAGGCATGACCGTGCTGTCAGGGCAACAGCTGCAGCGTTTCCCAGAAGAGAGGAGGCTGGTATTTCTTGAGCATGTTACCCAAGGATCACCTGTTGGTCTGTCCCACACTGTACGGAGCCCCAAGGCACGGTGGGTAGGCAGCTGATCGGAAGGGGCCCAGTCTGTGGGGCAGCTGGACAGGGAAGCTGACTGAACACACGCTGGAACCCATGGCGGCGTCGAAGCAGGGTCCGGACCCTGCAGGGGACCAGGTCTTCTGATCTCCATCCAGAAATCTGTCTCCCTCATGCACGATGCCCCCGGGTCTCTTTTCTCATGCCTCAGGTATTTCTTTTTCTAAAATCAGAGTTAATCTTAATGGAAGGAAAACGATCTGCTTGGCTTTGTTTTGAATATGATGTCTGTGTGCTTTCCCACTCCCATTATCTCAGTGCATTTTAAGTCCCCAGCATTTGATATCAATAAAAAAGATCCAAAGGTAGGATGATAAATGCCAAGAATGTTGCCACTGGCTGCCTGACTGGAAAGGTCATTTGGTTTCTAGTTAAGAGAAAAATTTCCTGGGTAAAATGAAAGGCATAATGACAAATCACCGGCACTTCTTTTTAAAGTTTATCGCTAAGATATCTCTGAGAAATCTAAAAGAGATACTAAAAGCAATTTTAAGCTTATTGGCCTTCCAATTGAAATCAGGAAAGCATAGAATATTAGAGATAGATGAGATGATGGAGAATATTTGGGATTTTCCTATCGGCTTGAGAATTTTTCACCACTATTGGGTATTTTTTTTGAGACAGGGTCTCACTATGTAATTCTGACTGGCCTTGAACTCACTCTCACTATGTAGCCCAGGATGGCCTTGAACTCATGGCTATCTTTCTGCCTCAGCGTCCCCAGTGCTGGGATTACAGGCCTGCAGCACCATTAGTTTTTTTTTTTTTTGGTACCGGGGATTGAACTCGGGACCTTGCACTTTTGAGGCAGGTGGTGGAACCACTGAGCTAAATCCTTGGGCCTGACACCATTAGTTTTTATCATCAAACAGAAAGCTTTCCTGAGGGTTCTTCTAGTTTTCTGGCAGAAAGAAAATCTGAGTATAAACATCTTTTCCATTCCTATGCAGTCTGTTGACTAGAATTAGCTATTGGCTACTGGTCTATAGAAAATACATTGTCTTTATCATAGAGGTCTGATAATTTACTAACGAACATTTATTATAATTTTTTTTTAGAAAAATTGTTGTTTTGTATTGAGACTAAACCAGCTTAGAGAAATGGGCTGCAGTGATATTCAGCAGACTTTTCTGCAGTGATAGAAATAGTCTGCATCTGTGTTGTCCAGCCCATAGTTACAGGCAGCATATGGCTATTGAGACTTATTATGTCCACATTGGTGGGTGTAACTGAGCACAATTACCATTAACTTAAACTTTATTATAATTGTGACATGTGTCTAGTGCAATACCCAAGCAGGATTTCCAGGTGGAGAACAGAGGCAGAGAGCTGGGTTTTAATTGTTTTCCTGCCTCTCAAAAGTTAGTCTCTTGCCTCTTTTCTGATACTCGGTCTCTTAATTTATGAAACAGGGGCCATTATATTTACCCTTCAGGCCTTTTGTGAGGTTAGGCAAGGAGCTTACTATTGTGCCTGGCTAACAGTAGACTCCTAACAGCAACAGCCACGATGAATCTTTGCTGAGGCCTTCTAGGAGTCAGGGCAGGGGTAGAAGCTTTGTAAACATCCTTTTAAATCTCCACAAGAAATATACAGAATGGATGCTTTCAGATTTATCATGTTATAAAGGGAACAGATGTCCAAGGTGTGTGTGTCATGATTTGCAGGGCCAGTGAGGAGTCAAATCCAGTGACCAACACTAAGCCTGCAACTTTGTAATTATGCATAACATAAACATTTGATGTCCTGATGTCCTGTCAACACAGCCGTTTTGATACCTTATGTCCAAGTGTCCACGGCTTATTTTGTCCTTTGTAAAGGAACTTTACTAGATACTAAAGAAAGCCGAGTTATAATGAGGAGGCTTTGTCCGAACTTGCTCAGGCCTGGGTGTTTAAGCATAAACCTTGGCTCCAGTCAGGATTTTAAAGGCAGAGAAAACACCGGGAGCAAGGCGCATTGCATCACCTGTAATGGCTGTGCACCTGTTGTGAAATGAGTCATAGCTTCACATGTTTAGAAACTGGCCGGCTTCTCTTCTTTCATTGGTCAGTGTCTTTCGCTGACCCATGACTGCTTGGTTTCCTTAAAGGCCAATATCGTGTTCCAAAGGGTTTCAATGACCACGAGGCAGGAGAACATAATAGGGATTAAATTATTTTTTTCACATGAGGTCAGTGTTCCTAAAACTCTTCAGTTTGTACTATGATGAATCAAATTTCCCCATAAGGTCAACATTGAACCCAGCCATTGAATTTGATTTGTCTAATTCAGTTTGCGATCAGAATCATGGAAAGAACCAAGTTTGTGAACCGAGGTGCCACTGTATATCTAAGAGGATGTGCCTAGGGATCATGCTATATATACTTATCACATGTTTGAGTGGATTTTTATTTCTGTATGGATTGTTTTTCCCATCACAAAACAACACACATACATATATTACTGTTTGTCTTAAAAATATGGAAAGAGTTTTAGAGTTTTGAAATAAATGTACTATTCCTTAGATGTGTATAATGAATTGACAGTCCAGCAGAAAACAAGGCTGGTAACCTAATACATGGCATAACTCATAATTAAATAACTTCAGATTTGCAGGATTTTACTGCCAGAGCATGGCTGGAATGGGCTTTAAGATCTGTAGAGTTTACAATCTTTAAACTGCGGTTCTAATTTTGGAATGCTCTGGCTGGGCTTTGCTGGAGTTGGAGACCAAGGGCCATAGCTCTCACAGAACCAACATGGGCTACCGTACTCTGTCCTATTCTAAGTGTGACCTTCACAGACAGTTTCCAAATTCCATATTGTCTTGAAGGTAAAATACTCTTAATTTTCAGGGAGAAGTATGACTGCATTTCATTAAATCCACCAGGAAAATCATTCTGTAGTATCTGCACAGAATATTAAACTTTTACATTGCAAGAGTACTTTAAAAGCATTTTCCCCTTTCCTCCCAAGAGCAAAACGTAACTATCCGGGGAATCAGAAGAAAATCCACTTGACCAGCCTAAGTCATTTGTCAGGAGAATCCATTAAAAGCAACCTGATGTAAAACAAGGCAAAACAACAACAACAAACAACCTGAAGTCTCACACTTGCGTCTGCGTACATGAGCAGAGTGGAAAATGATGGCATATGTGAGTATGAACAGCCTTCCTAATTTAACTCGCGGCCTTGCTAACAAATACTTCCTCCAGCACGTGCTTCACACATCGTCAAACCTAGGAGTGAGCTCCACACTGGCTGCCAAGGAGCTGGTTGTACAAGGTTTCCTTCAAAGGGGTGCGCTCCCTCGCTCGCATTCCAGGGCCCTGAGGGACGTTTCAGAAAGGGAAGGACAA